TTAGAACTCTGAAGTAATAAAACCGCATGAGAATGTTAATGACAATTTCTAATAGTTTTTTAACGTTCCAAAATTGATAACTTATTTGCGTGAAAATTCTTTCCGCATAGCAGTTGTAATAAAATTATAAATTAAAGACCGTTACGCATTAGTACATCACAAAGACTATTACTGAATGGCATTTAAGGGGAAAAATTCCGCCTTGAATTATTCTTATTTGTTTATTAACTGACCCTAAAGGCAAGTTGAAAACGATGTCAAAAACCGCCGCTAATTTTGAAATTTAATATCTCTTTCAGTTTTGTCGTAAGGGAGTCAACCTTTTTGTGTTCTATTCTGTAAAGTATAGCATTTTCTTACACATAAGTATAGTAAAAGGGGGAAAGTATAAGAAGTTAGATTTCATATTTTATGAAAAATATTTTTTTTTTTTTGTTAAATACGAAGATAGGAATCTTTGAGTCATATAAAACACATTTGTATATGGAAGTATATGTCTACAACCAATTACTGAGAAATAAATGCCGGGTAAGGACTTTTGTAGATATAAGGTATGTAGTGTTGGAAATAAGAATTTACAATTTTTACTTCTTTAAACATTTCTGTAGACAACTATTACTGATTACAGAGTTCCTTGAAACTTCTTTAAAATCTTCGTGGAAATAGTTTTTACGCTATAGCCTGAGTTTATTGAAAAACTAAAATATAATTTTTAAACCGATTCCTTAGAGAAAATAAAATCCAGTTAATAAAATATCCATTATGTTTTATTTAGTTGTAAGAAAAGCATTCCGTACCACCACCAGCAAAATTCTCAGAGATAATTTTAATAAACATTTTCAAAAATCCACTTATGCATGTTGATTATAATTAAAGCTGCACTTTCAAAAGGCTGTAAAAAGAGAAAAAGAAACCACTGGTCAGAATAACCTGAATATACATAAATTTGTCTACAAAAAAATATTCAAAAATTTATCAATAGAAGGTGCTGTATTTTTCATAACATGCTAATTAAAAAACTAAGCAATACGCATCAAATACAAGATTTTGATTAATCAAATACAGATTACATGCAATTCCCTTTATTCTAAATGACCATGATTTGAAAATTGACACGATAAAGAAATACCTAAACAGCTAAATGTGAAATTCTTCAACAAAGTAACAGCCAATAGTACAGCAAGCTTCTCTGCACTTCTAAGGTATAAAAGCTTAGAGGACGAATTTTTCATTCTTTCATATGCTGCACATCTTCTACAGCAGAGAAGTATTTGTCAGCTAATACGTGCTTTCATCCATCACCTAGTTCGGATATGTGCAATATCCTAACTACGTGCTGCTCTTTTTGATGTAAATTCTTGAATACTGGTTATTTTCCTATCTTGTGCGTTGCCTAGATTGGACACCGCCATTGTAGCTGACGGAAGTTGGGAACACTCATCTTCCCCAGTTCCTGCCTGGATTTACTAATAGTGCTATTGATAGCACTGGATACATGACGACTCTAGCTGCAACGAATCTGCTTGCCGGAAGGGAAGACGCAAAGCGCCTCTTTTTTTTTTACCATCCAAGAACGCCTACAAGGGATACACTTCATGCACCGTTTCTTCTTAGGCTCCGTAAGGAACTCTGAAATTGCTCTGGGAAGTAAGACCCCAGAATAACACAGCAGTATCGCAGTATACCGTTGTTCTCCCCCCCCGGGGGGTCGACGTAGAGAACTCTGCGAAGCTACTGGCTAGGATCTGTACCTAGGCAGTCTCGGCCACGGGGGTATAAAATTTATGAACTTGGTGGTTCTGAAGGCTCTGGGAAAGGTCACTTATTGGCCGGCCCCGGAGTCTGGCACGTCCTAGCGCGGCGTGGTTCTAGTAACCCGGGGGTCTCCCCCGGGGTCGCTGGGTAATGTCCCGCTGCGACGGGCTCGCCCAAGCGACTGGTAGGAGCATTAGACGACCGGTGCTGCCTGGGGCCTGACCCCAGGTGGTGCGCTGCTCTTCTGGAGGGTAATAGTGGAGGTTGAACCTCTACGACGTGCCCAAAGGGAGAGTGGACCTGTAGTGGGCTTAAGTTCCCGGAACAGGGCAGCCAAAATCCTATAGTATACCGTTGTTCTGCGCCTGTCTCGACTCTGTCAATGATAGATCGAGCTCTGCTTGTGAAGCATTTTTTTTTTTACAAGAATGGTGCTATAGCTGCCCTGAAGAAGTTCAGGACATTAATGAGTATAAGATGCGACTCTGATTCGATGTCTTTCATGAGTCTGCGGAAGATGATTCAAAAATTCGAAGAGACCACTTCACTTGACGTGACATCTGGCAGAGGGTGGAAAGCAGTTGCTTTGACGTCAATGGAAGATGTACGTGTCCATCAGCACGGTTCGTAAAAAATTTTGAGAATTATCTTGCCATGCTATCCATTAAAATTACGCACATTCAGGAGTTGTTTCTTTCTGATCTGCCACTACGATAAACATTCGCCTTGCAGTTTCTTGCTCAGATAGATGTGGACAATGCATGGCCGCGAAACGAAATTTTCATCTCCAAACCAATTTTCATCTCCAAGTTTCTGTCAATACTTAAAATTGCAAAACATTGCAGACATTGAACTGGAACCGTATCTTATATCCATTAATGTCAGGAACTTCTTCAGGGCAGCGTTTATGTAAAAACTTCACAAACAGAGCCCGATCCTTCACTGACAGAGTCATGACAAGCTTCTCAGATGTAGAATAACGCAAAATGTTGCGCTCCGTATTTTTATCAAGTCTAATATGTGGTGCGCATGCCCCGTCTTTGAATGAGCATTAACGTCAGTTAACATATTGGGCCAAATACAGAGTAACATATGGATAAACATTTGAACTATTTTTGGCCAAATTCCCATTTCATCATGTACATTCAGGTCAAATTTCAGGTCATTCTGACGAGTGATTCTTTTTCTACAGCCTTTTGAAAGAGCAACTGTAATTATAATCACCTTTTACATTCGATAAGGAATGCATTGACACCCATTAATTGCCAAAGGGAAGAACTTGGATTTTGTAGTTGCTGCCTAGTCCGCGCCAGTGGCTCAGCGATGACGAACGAAACACATGTGAAAAGTAAATACGAATCAGTTTCCCTTACAATGGCCTCCACGAAGGCAAGTAGCCCTTGTGTGCTTTTTCATATTCGAATAACCAGTAATTGTTGCCTGAATTTATTCTCAACCGTCACGAATTATGTCCTTAATACACATGAGAAAAGAGTTTATGTTATTTTGTTTATAGCAAGTATCTCACTGAGGTATAGGTGTGGAATTTTTGTTTTTTTCTCATGGAAGTGTAACGAATAGTTTACTAACTGGAATATTTATTTTACTGAGACAATAGAAAAGTTAGATTTTTTTTATAGAACCATCTCATCCACTGTATTGCATAGATGTTTCTACTTTACTTAAAAAGTCTATGTATTTGAAACTACAAGTTTAGGATCAAGTATACCGAAATAGCCATCTCTTGCTAACACTTGGCTGTGATTATATGTGTGTATATATATATGTATGTGTGTGTGCGTCTGTTTGAGGGTCGAAATACAAGACGAAAAATTTATTTTAGCTTGAAAACCCTTAACCTCATCATTAGTAAAAACACCCTGCCATTCAAGCCGCATCATTATTAGAGGCTTCTTTGGTTAGTTAATTATGTAAAATATCTTATAACTGCATCTCACTTTTGCTTAACCTTCTAGCCTTTTAAATCTTAAAATATCGAAACTGTAGTAGTAAAAAAAAAAAAAAAAAAAAAAAAAAGCCAAACTTTCATCCAATAGCCTTGTGTAATTAAAACAGTCAACAATGTAAATAAAAAGTAACAAACTCTAGTGAGAAAAATAAGAACCATTTAATCACTTTTATCACTTTTAAACTAAAATCTTCCTCTTATAACTTCAGCTCTCCTCCAGTACAGATATAAAATTTATGCTTTATAATTTTAAATAACGAAGAGTTTCCCAACTCCCATGCCGATTTTAAACGATTATTATAGGCTATCAGTAACTACGCTTAAAATAAAGAATTTGAAGCAATTTAATAATTAGCAGCTACAATAAGTGTATCGTGCATAAATTTGCTTTAATTATAGTTTCGAAGTTTGAACAAAATATTCCTCTTCAAGTGGAAGAGTTACAATAACGAGTTTTTCGGTAATATTCCTTCAGCAAAGATAGAGAAATAGCCTTTTACAGGCACATATTGCTCAAGCTCATTTTAAATAGCAAGAAGATCAATTTTTACGGATCATTATGATCTATATTTTTTCCTTAACAAAGTTTACGCATTGCTGAAGTCTTGGTTGCTACCTACATCAAATAAGAAAGGCATACATGCAATTATCAGGGGTCATGTGGTTAAAGTTATGAAACACTGATAATGTGTTATGGCCTTTATTCATAGCAGTTAAACGAATTAGCTGCACGAAGTGTTCGTAGTTTTTCGAGTATGTAAAGTAAATACAGTAAAGTTTCTTTTAAAACGTTATCAGTTAAAATATATGGCCCCTCAGGCAGCTAAATCTAAAGTGCTTTGTTGTAGTAAAAGAAAAAAATGCCAGTCCACTTAAAACTTTCCAAATTTGCAACTAAAGACATATTTAATTGTCGTTGCCTTAATATTTTGCCAAAATACCTTGTACTCCTGTTTTACAAATTCACGAGGCTATAAAACAAACGAAACTATTTTGCTGGTTTCGTGAAGTAGCACGATGTTGCGAATTATTTTAATATATTACAAATAAATCCATCAAAATTAATTTTTTAAGAAAATGTAATTGTAGTATTTTAAGCAATATATATTGTATTTCTAATTTTTTTTATTTTTACAGACTTGTTTTGTCCTGCGAATAATCTTGCTTTTATTGAATTATGTTACTCCTTCTCGTTGAAAACTTGAAAACTATAACATAATTTTTTAAGAACATTTGACAAAGCGAAGTAAACTAAAATAATTTTTCTCTCTTTCAGGTAGTTAAGCAGCTGCTGTTGCATACATGGAAAAGAGGTGGGGATTTTGCACAGTAGTTCTTTGAAAGACCACTTCCGAGGAGACAAAGCTGTCACGAAAAAACTTTATATATCCAGTACTTCAGAAATTGTCAACATTCTACTGCTCACTATTGCTGAAGAGTCAGAATCATTTATGGCTTAGAATAAAAATGTTTTATGTACATAAATAAATTTGCTATCTTATTTGGTAGCATATTAAAACCTCCATGATACTGGAATCAAATCATTGGAAATTACACATAAAAAAATGAAAGAAACGATTTCATTGAATAGCCTAAGCATCACTAGTTAATGCAAAGATGTGTATGATGGATAAATAGGATATTACATGGAAAATGGAGGAAAATATTATAAAATAAAAATAAAGTTTACATTTAATGTGATTAATTAGTAATATTTAAAATTTCTAGAGCACATTCACAGGATACAGAGCGTTTGAAACATCTTTAAATAATTAAACTGAATTGACCTCAGTGTAAGAATATAAATATATAGTTTTTAAATATCCATTAGTTTGTTTTGTCACTCTATGAACCATTTTCCGTTTTAGTTTGAAATCAAAATCAAGTAACTTGCTTGATAGATACTAAACATAGTTCTCAAAACTGGCAGTTTGTCATTTTCACAAAGGATTATTCTAGCGAAACATAACTGACAGAAACTAATTACTTTAAAGGGTGACGCACAAAAATCGTAATACTCGACTATAGACTTTTCTCATGTCAAAAATTCAGAATTATAATGTAAAACTTTATAGTTATCTGTACTTAAATAAAACCACAAGATCTACAGTAGCGTAAGTTAATAGTTTTCGAATAAAGACCCAAAAGATTTTAAATTTAATATTTCCCAAATCAAAAAGCATTGCATATTCAGTACAACTCAAAACTATCACGGGTATTTGAAATTGCTCCTACACATATAAAATATACAGCTGTTTAAAATGATCGACTCAGTTTTACGTGAGCACAATTTTGTACCTATTTGCATTAATTCGATGTACATTAATTGTGAAATTAAATCTTGATTGTAGAGAATATTACATCTTACAAACAAACTTCTTTTATAGAATGTCATATTTTCTTAACCTTCGGAACTTCTTCGGCCCACCGTGTCGGATAAGATAATCTTGTTTGTTGGTCACGTGAAACTTTTCTTTTGGTGATACGTTAAAGAAGTCATGTTTGTGCGTCTTTTGCACACAGGTTTACGTAATACTCTCTTTTTTTTTTTTTTTTTTTTTTTTTCTTTCAGCAGGAAACTTCTCCGAGTTGCTCATTGTTTTGAACTTCGCGTATTTCGAGTCTTGGCAAAACAGAAATTAGCGACATTTGAGGGAAATATTTGTTACGAGTTTCGTGCACAAGTGTTCCAGTGAAATAAACATGCAAATCTGTATTGAATAATTAAACATATTCTTTATCCAATAAGCGAGTAAGACTTTGCATCGAAATATTAATTTTGTAAGAAATAATGTAAGTTTTCTCTCTTATCATTTAGCTTTGCTTTTATAATAACTCTTTTTAAATTTTTCACTTTGTGGCTTATAGCTCAAATTCTTAAACAAATAATTTCATTTCCCTTAACTCAGGTTTGAAATAAGTCCACATAATGATCATGGTTGAATGCGTGGAGCATTTTATACGATCTCTGTGCAACAGGTAACATATATTAATCTCCTTTGCCTAGTTTAGGAATGCAATAGTGGAGCAAAGAAATAACATTGGCAGCCAAAACACTGGCCGGAGACATGTCTAAATCCCGACGGAAACAAAGGTTTTCTGCACAAAATTATGCTACTGAAAAAAATACTTCGGCAACATATTTATTTAAGATAGTATTTTAGAAAAACTTCGTTGAAAGACTATAAATGGTTTAGGTACCTCAAGGAAAATTTCAAATATTTATCAGAAATAAAATTAAAAAGAAGTTATTGGGTTTATAGCTAGTAGCTTATTTCTGCAATAGCTTACGCTATATGAAGATAAGTATATTCTCGAAGTCTCTGCAAAACGGTGGTAATATTCACTCGTTCTTGAAAATATGCTGGATTTTAGAATATTTTAAGATTTTAGAATATGCAAAATTTTAGAATATTATGAGTATTAGAATTAGTTCTTAAATAGAAATTTGGACTTTTCTCCACAAAATTTAGAAGCCTTTAATTGTGAAAGGAAAGCAAATTTACATTGAAATACCAAGGAAATATGCCAACCAAGTGGAATATGAAGGGATGAGCAATTATCGTTGAGTCTCACTGCAAATCTGAGGCAGAGCGCAAAAGGAAAAGCAGATATGATATCTGGCAGATATGGCTCGCTGGCAGATAGCAGATATGGCTAAAAGTAGACAGATATGGCTCTCTGGCAAAATAAATCTCTTACTTATGTTCAGATAAAAATAATTAAGCTTTATAATTAAATTCAAGAAATGTACTCAAAGTAAATTTTCTGTAGTATATTGCCTTACAGGTTTCGTTTATTTTACATACTGCAAAGTAAACACATGAAAGCAAATTGCCAAAAGTCTGTGTACAGAGTATTTCAAAAGCTTAAGAAAAGATTGCCCATTAAATATTTCTTTAAGTAGCTAATCATACGCTCATTAATCCAATTTAAGAAATAAATCCAAATAAACAGACTTTTACACTACGGCAGTTTTATCATGCGACACATTTGGGTAAAGAAATTGAAATTTTCATTTAGATTCTTTATGAAAAAAGTGCCAAGAGTACATTTTTCCTTAAACCTATGAAAGAAGTATTAGGAAAAAAATAAGCCCATAATATGCTACTTCTGCGTGCAATTTGTCAGTTTTTAGAAGCTGGATAAAATTCAACTGTCTTATTTTAAAATGTTTTTGGTCTTAAACAAGTCTGTAAATAATAATTTTAAACCCTCACGATCATAGTTAGGTTTTCCTCACACAAAACTTATCTTTTAGAATTTGAATTCAAAAGCATAAAAGCAAATTTTGTTCGCGGTTGCTCCTATTTCAGATATCTATAATTAAAGATATATAGAACAGTTTTGGTTATCTGAGAATAAATAGGAAGGGGAATAATTTACTAACTAAAACTTCTTTCTCACAGAATCGTATAAAACTTTACATTTTGTACACATTTGCTGAAATAATTGTATAATCTGAAAAACCTTCAATATTTGATTCTTTCTCAAAGTGAAGCAACGAATATCACCTGTTCAAGAGATATTTACACTCATGTCCATAAATTAAGGATAATTCGAAGTCCCGCGGAAATCGAACTCTAAAATAAATATATCACCTGTAAAATCACTACACACATCTTCAAGAATCATATGCAAATTTCAGGAAGTAACCAGATGACACCGATGGTACGTCACAATGAATGAATGAAGTAAAATTTTTCGCAGGCGCTTTATAAGCATTTCAGTGCAATAACCGACACAAAGGATGCATTTGGATGATTTTTTTACGTGGTAGAATTATCGGCCGTCTGGAATGTGGGAGTACCCAACTGGAAGTATCAGACGAACTTGGAATTGCCTAGAGTGTCATCTCCAGGCTTTGGCAACGCCTCCAAGCTGATGGTAATGTGAGTAGACGTTACAGCACAGGTCGCCCCAGAGTTACAACGCCGAATGCGGACCGGTATTTGGCAGTTACTGCCAAAAGAAACAGGCGGAGCACAGCCTCAGACCTGTCTCGTCAGCTCTCTTTATCCACTGGTACGACAATTTCAAGGCAGACCGTGTACAGACGCTTAGAGCAGATTGGTCTATATGCTCGTAGATCTGTCAGATGCGTTCCACTTACTGCAACTCACTGTCGCCTGCGGTTAGCCTGGAGTAGAGAGCATGCATTGTGGGCACCGCAACAGTGGGCTTGTGTGATGTTTTCCGACGAGTCCAGGTTTAGCTTGCAGTCTGATTCTCCCCGGACTTTCATATGGAGAGCTCCAGGTACCCGTTACTACCAAGAAAACATCATTGAACGACACCGTTACGGTGGTGCAGGAGTGCTCGTTTGGAGTGGAATTATTCTGGGTTCCAGAACTGACCTGCATGTTCTAATTGGAACCATGACAAGCCAAATCTATCGGGACGTCATTCTGGAACAACATGTACGTTTGTTTCGGGGCGCCATAGGCGCACAATTTGTGTTTATGGATGACAACGCCCTCCTCACCGTGCAAACATCATAAGCGAATGCCTTCAATCGGAGGATATCACCCGTATGGACTGGCCAGCATTCTCACTGGACTTGAATCCAGTAGAGCACGTGTGGGACATGCTTGGCCCACGAGTTGCAGCCCGTCAACCTTTTCCTACATGTCTACCGTAACTTCGGAGAGCATTGCTTTTTGAGTGGTGTAATATCCCCCAAGATCAGATCGATAATTTGATACTCAGCATGCCTAGGCGTTGTACGGACTGTATTGCATCGTCTGGGAGACATACAATGTATTAACAATCATACCAACCATGTAATATTGGTTTTTTGTATATAAGTGTTTTTTGTAATTTGCTCCAGGGAGAAAAAATCGCTAATTTTTTTAATAAGATCAAACATTTAGCAACTTTTTTTTTTTTTTTTTTTTTTTTATGCCTTGTTTAATATAAGCATGGAGCAAATCTGGTGCCATATCTGAATTCAGGGCATCCAATTATTAGAAAATCAACATTCATTTTTCAACAAATATTTTATGACTCAGAAAGCACTGTCTTATTACGCGTCCAAATCGATTAACTCACCTCAAAGTAATTTTCGTTCAAAAATATTTGACGCTTCATCCCATATAACCAAGTTACTTGAATGTACGGAATACAACGAAAATTTTATACGTGATAAAACTTTACAAAAAAAAAAACCTTTTTGGTTTAAGACTAAAAAAGAATCCCAGTTCTCTTTTTACACGACTTATTTTAATCTAATTTCATTCGTATTGTGAATTTTTAAAACCTATATTTGAAGTCTAAAAAATTATTTTTAGTGCAAAAAAAAAAGTTTCCAGAATTCACGGTCATAAAGAAGATGCGGCTTTCATGTATTTAAATTTTCGAAACCTTTATCCCTAAAAATGCTTCATGCATTCGAAATTTGACGATACCTCCATACACCTTGTGGCTTTTGTTTATGAGATTATTTGAAACCGCATATGTACATAGATCGGTCAATATTATTGACCATATTGAAATAAGTTAGCTGTCATACAGTGCGGGTATT